ACACAGTTGGAGAAATTGATTATTTTACCAAGGCTTCCACTGGAATGGTGTGTTTTCCTTTAGGGAATTAAACTTGACTTATGGAGCCAACAAAAGCCCTATGGGGTACTGGCCTCATACTTTCCCTACAACAATCCCTGTGGTGAGGAAAGAATGTCACTTTCTGACAGGTCCAGAAGCTTCAAGTTATCTTGGGACCTCAAGAGGAAAACATTTACCCAGCTTATAGGTATTTAAGGCTGCAAGCCTATGGTTGGGCTCGGCTTTAAAAAAAAAGTCTTATCTGAAATTCCTTCTATGGAACAGAGTTCCATCAAAGGCAATTTAAAAAGAGATTTTGTGAAAAATAATTATTCTTGCTGTACTTTATACAAATAACCATGCCAAGTATAATAACACAAATCTGTCTTACCATGATTTGTCTTTAGTAAAAATTGGAAACTGGGAAGAGAAATATTATGTTTTAAAAGCTATAGTATACTTGTTATTAGATTCTAGTCTCATCAGTTGTTTTTAAGTTTGTTTCTGCAATTTAGGCTAACCCTGCTTATTCCTGCGAATGAACCAGTGATCTCTGACTGTTGCTCAGAAGAAACAAGAGGGATGGGTAATGTAAAAATCTGGATCAGTATTCTAATTCTGGGCACATTACAATCAGCTAACTCCCATACCAGCTTAGTTTCAACAGTTGTCCAGTTCACGAAAAGCCTTCTAGTTTAGTTTACTTGGAATAATTTTACCTATTTTGCTTTACTCTTGTGGAATATATAGCTGGTACACTCTTTGGGTATGAATACAGGACAAGTTTACTGAATGTTTTCTTAAACACTTACTAATCTTCCAGATATCACCTTTTGTCAAAACTCAAGAGTTATGAATGGACCTTGCCACACTGATGGTTTCTGACTGAACTCCTCTCTACCTTGAATGCAAGAGACCCTCATTATTAGGCAGGAATATCATAGCCCCTATTCAGCCTGAAGAAATTACAGAAGATGGACCTTCATCAGAGGTGTGTGAACCAGAGCAACTCCATTTTAAATAGGAGCTGGGTAAAATGAGGCTGAAACCTACTAGGCTGCATTCCCAGACAGTTAAGGCATTCTAAGTCACAGGATGAGACAGGAGGGCAGCATAAAATACAGGTCATAAAGACCTTGCTGATAAAACAGGTTGTGGTTAAGGAGCCAGCCAAAACCCACCAACAGCAAAATGGTAATGAGAGTGACCTCTGCTTGTCCTTACTGCTACACACCCATAGGCGCCATGATAGTTTACAAATGCCATAGCAATGTCAGGAAGTCCCCCATATGGTCTAAAAAGGGGAGGCATGAGTAATCCACCCCTTCTTCAGCATTTTAACAAGAAATAACCATAAAATTGGGCAAGCAGCAGCTCTCGGGGCTGCACTGTCTGTGGAGTAGCCATTCTTTTATTCCTTTACTTTGTTAATAAACTTGTTTTCACTTTGAAAAAAAAAAGCTGATACAGTGCAGAAACATACATATATGAGTACAACCATTAATTAGAAGAAAATAATCTTACATATTTAACATTATTACCATTTCTAGAGCTCTTAATTCCTTTGTTTAGATCAAAATTTCTACCTGTTTTTACATTCATTCTATAAGAAGGATGTCGCTTAACATTTCTTGTAATGTGATGTACTGGGCACTGTTCTTTTTTGTTTTTCTTTTTTCTTTTAAGTTCTGGGATACACGTGCAGAACGCACAGGTTTGTTACATAGGTATACATATGCCATGGTGGTTTACTGCACCTATCAATCCGTCATCTAGGCTTTAATCCTCACATGCATTAGGTATCTGTCCTAATGCTCTCCCTCCCCTTGGACGGGGTTTTTGTGTCGGGATCCTTTTTGTTGATGTTGATGTTATTGCTTTCTTTTTGTTAGTTTTTCTTCTAACAGTCCCCTCTTCTGCAGGTCTGCTGCAGTTTGCTGGAGGTCCACTCAAAACTCTACTTGACTGGGTATCACCAGCAGAGGCTGCAGAACAGCAAAGACTCCTGACCGCTTCTTCCTCTGAAAGTTGTGTCCCAGAGGGTCACCGGCCTGATGCCAGCTGGAGCTAACCTGTATGAGGTATCTGTTGACCCCTGCTAGGTGGTCTCTCCCAGTCAGGAGGCAGGGGGGTCAGGGACCCACCTGAGGAGGCAGTCTGTCCCTTAACAGAGCTTGAGTGCTGTGCTGGGAGAAACTTCCTTTTGAGGATCCGCTGCTCTCTTCAGAGCCTGCAGTCAGGAACATTTAAGTCTGCTGAAGCTATGCCCACAGCTGCCCCTTCCCCCAGGTGCTCTGTCCCAGGGAGATGAGAGTTTCTTTGATAAGAACCTGACTGGGGCTGCTGACTTTCTTTCACAGATACCCTGCCCAGTGAGGAGGAATCTAGAGAAGCAGTCTGGCCACAGCCATTTTGCCATGCTGAGGTGCATTCCACCCAGTCTGAACTTTCTGGCCTCCTTAACACTGTCAGGGGAAAACTGCCTACTCAAGCCTCAGTAATGGCGGATGCCCCTCCCCCTACCAAGTTCCATAGTCCAGAGTTGACTTCAGATTGCTGTGCTGGCAGTGAGAAATTGAAACCAGTGTTTTATAGTTTGCTGGGCTCCATGGGAGTGGGATTCGCTGAGTGAGACTACTTGCCTCCCTGGATTCAGCCACCTTTCCTGGGGAGTGAACACTTCTGTCACGCTGGGGTTCCAGGCACCACTGGTGTATGGAAAAAAAAAATTTTTTAAACCCCACAAACTCCTGCAACTAGCTCAGTTTCTGCCAAACAGCTGCCCAGATTTATGCTTGAAATCCAAGACCCTAGTGGTGATGGCACACGAGGGAATCTTCTGGTCTGCAGATTGTGAAAACTGTGGGAGAAGCATAGTATCCGGGCCATATAACAGTCCCTCATGGCTTCCCTTGGCTGGGGGAGCGAGATCCCTGGCTCCTTACCCTTCCCAGGTGAGGTGATGCCCCACCCTACTTCTGCTCACCCTCCATGAGCTGCACCTGCTGCCTAACCAGTCCCAGTGAGATGAACTGGGTAACCTCAGATGGAACTGCAGAATCCCCTTCCCACCTTCTACATTGGTCTAGCTGGGTGCTGCGAACTGCAGCTCTTCCTATTTGGCTATCTTGCCAGATCCACCCTCCACCCCCACGCCCAAGCCCCCCACCGCCCCTGCAACCATCCCCTATGAATTTGAAAACAGTTTTTTTCCTAATTCTGCGAAGAATGTCATTGGGAGTTTAATAGGAATATCACTGAATCTATAAATTGCTTTGGTCAATTTGGCCATTTTTACTATATTGCTTTTCCTGTTCATGAACATGAAATGCTTTTCCGTTTGTTTTTGTCATCTCTGATTTATTTGAGCTGTGTTTTACAGTTCTCTCATAGTAGAGGTTTTTCTCCTCCCTAGTTAGCTGTATTCCCAGGTATATTATTCTTTTTGTGGCAGTTGTGAATGGGATTGTGTTTCTGATTTGGATCTGAGCTTAGAAGGCTGTTGGTGTATAGAAATGCTCCTGGTTTTTACATTAATTTTGTATCCTGAAATTTCCTGAAGTTGTTGATCAGATCAAGGAGATTTTGGGCAGAGAGTCTGCGATTTTCTAGGTATAGAATCATATTTTTTGCAAACAGAGTTTGACTTCTGTGAAAATCGTAGTGGAGTGAGAGCAAACATCTGTCTGCAATAGAATAGAACAATAAAAATGCCTGAGAATAAATTTAATTTGAATGTGAAGAACTAATATGAAGGAAATAACACAGTCATAGCCAGGGATACGTTAAAAAGTCTTCAGGACTTGAGGAGTGGATTTTTCTTAGAGAGAGTCTAAAATAGAAAGATGGTTATTGTCCCTAAGTTAAGATGCAATTTAAAAATAATAGCTAGTATCTCAACACTAGGAATATCTTAGCACCTGATCAAATGATTCTGAAGTTCATCTGAAAGACAAACGTGTCAGAAGAGATAGAAAAAGAGAAAGCAATGAGGAAGGGCAAGCATTATTTCACATTTCAAATATAATCAAGCTACAGCAATTTAAATATTATAGTAGTGACACAGGAATAAGCAACTTAAGGGAAGAAAATTAAATGAAGAGAGTTACATACAAAATTGAGTGGAGATGTAGGTGATGATAAAAGAGCCATTTCAAAACAGTGAGTGAAACAGGGATTCCACAGATAATGTTGATTCCCTACCACTTTAATTTTGTCCAGATGGATCAATGATTTTTGAATGTACAATAATGCAACAAAAAACCATGAATCTCTTATTGTACTGGAGTGGGTAAGATCATTGCAAGCATGACAGCAGAAAATGATTTATGAAAGCATATATAAAATGGATATTAAAATATTTAATATTTACTTCTATCATGATGAATTTTTCTGAAACACATTCTTCCCTTAGAGTAACCTGGGGCTTATATTCTCCAAAGCCATGGGAAGTGAAAGAAAGGTTCAGCGGGGGAAAAAGAAAAGTGCTTTGTGAGTTGGTTTTTGCTGTCAGGAGAGCTTGTAGTTTAGGTTCTCCACAGAGGTAGGAACACTTCAGTCACGTGGTGAATGTCCCACTCAGTGCATGCTGCACAGACCTGTTGCCACGCTCATGTCTGTTACTGGGCATGTCTGTTGCCGCGCATGTCTGTCCGTTGCTGTGCATGTCTGTTACTGCGCGTGTCTGTTGCCGCGCATGCACCTTGCAGCCCACCTTCTGTTCACGTAGAGTTCTGCAAGGGAAGATCTTGTCTTCATTCTTGCTGCCATCTTCACTCCTTCTCACTGACTGATACTCAGCCAGTAGGTCTGCAGATGGGTCTTTCAGGGAATTTCGTTGTGAGCGAATGTGAAGAGGAGCCAGAAGGCTTCAGACAGGTCCTGCCACACGGTCCATGGCTTTTGAGGGAAAAGGGCCTCACTGTTGTTGTCTGGCTCCTTCCAGGTCTTGAGGCCGCCATGGGCCTTGTTGTGGCTGGGCGGGGACACGGGTGGAAGATGAGCCACGGAGGGGAGAGATCACATGAAGATGGGGCGAGTGTTGGGAGTGCTGTTAGAGGTGTCTGAGTCCAGAAAACTCCTGGAACTCTTTGAGGGAGGGCAGTTTGTAGGGACGTCGTGGGTGGTAAGGAAGGGGCTTGGGAACTGGAAATGCTGTGGGCTGGTGACTGTGGCCCCAAGGTCTGAGGAGTGCTTGGTCGAGGTGTCTGATGAGGAGCATAACCTTCACTCTGTTTCACAATTTCTCACTTCTGCCATGGACGTCATGGGAGGGAATGGGCGAGACTGTGCATTCCAACAAAACTTGATTTTGGGAGTAGGTAGATGTGGGGGACAGTGAGGGGGAATGAGCCTAGTAAATTAAAGTGGGACGAAAGCTGTGGTCACTTCAGTTTCAATTCTCGGCCCATATTTTCGTAAACGTCTTCATGATGGTGAGTCTAATTGTGAAATCAAAACTTAGGAAAGCCCTCTGTCTTTTACTATGGAATTAACGTGATCTCTATACCTGTTAGACTATGGTATAAACAAATCTGTACTTAGTTTGATTGGAAAGTGTCATACTTACTGCCCTGTAACTCATTTAGAAAATATTAAATCAAAAATTTTAAAGTACAAATTACTGTTTTGCCATGGAATGTTCATATGCATATAGCTAAGTTGTTACACACATTTTCCATATAACAATATTCTATTTTCAATGGGAAATATGAGTGAGCATGTAAGAACAAGATCCCAATCCTCAGAAAGAGGAAATGATGAAGAGTCTTCCCAGCCAGTTGAACCTGTGATTGTGAGTCCTGCAACATTTGATGTTTTCTATTAACAATTTAGTTTTTAAAATATTTTTGAGCTAGTGTACATGAACTGATAAACATCTTCCATGCTGATAAAAAATGATAATGGCATCTCATGAAGGAAACTTCGGTTCAGAAGTATGATATTCTGGTGTTGCCTGTATTGATGTGGATATGGATATTTTACTCTCTATATAACTGTTGGAAAATGTCATGACTTATGATTAGATGCACATATGCATTGTGTGTATTCATATTTTTGATTTTTTATTTGCACACACACTTACACCCTTAGGTCCAGCAGCCCACTGAGGAAAAACGTCAGGAAGAGGAACCACCAACTGAAACCCAGGGTGTTGCACCCAGTGGGGAGATCGAAAATGAAGGCGCACCTGCAGTTCAAGGCGAAGGGAGAGTGAAGAATAATGATTATGGGCGGTGGAGGTGTATTAATGCATTATATTTTGTGACATAGCAGTAACAGGAGGACAGAAAACATTAGGAAGGAATCTTAAACATTTCCTACTGCTGCTGTGGGGAGGGGTGGGACGAGGACACAGAAAAAGCCACAAAACTTTTCTACCATTTTGACGGAGGCTTTTTATTGATTGGGTATTTGCATAGTTGCCATAAACATTTGAGTGTTTTCCAGAGCTCCTGTGTGGTTTGTTCAGCTAGTTCTGCTTTTTTTTTTTTTTTTTTTTTTTAATGTTTCTGTGGAAGAATGGCAATTTGCAGCTTCCTAGTCTGTCTTTTGCTGATAGCTCATGTATTTTTTTAAGATAGTTTTTTCACACATTTATTAATGCTTCCTCATGCCACATAATATACTAAGTACTGGAGATGTCAGTGCTAAATTTCTGCATAAAACTCGTAGTCTAGTAAAACTGACTCAATCACTGATTTAATGTGCTAAGTATAACAAATGAGTACAAAAGGGACGAGTAAGTTGTCTAGGGCCAACTTTGGGAAAGGAAAGGGCAATCTTTGAAAATCTCTGCTTTCCTGTTTTTCTGGCAACAGACTTCTGAAATAATTAGGCTACAGGTTTTTATTTCACAATGATGAGGGAATAAATATTATCATTTCCTCATTCATAGTTTATGTTTTAATTTGTAAATTGATGACCTTTTTATCTTGAAGGGCCTGATGTGGAAGCTCTTCAACAGGAACTAGCTCTGCTTACGGTAGAGGATGAGCTTGGAGATGGTCCAGATGTCAGAGAGGGGATTCTGCCCACTTTTGATCTCACTGAAGTGCTGGAAGCAGGTATGTTATTCACTAAGATGCAAATTATAGGGTTTCTATTTAATGTGACACAGAGATAAAATTACTGATATTTTAATATCATACTTCACATACAAAGATTCTTCAAAGGTATTTAAGACCCCAAATACCTGCCTTACACACTCTTGGAGATAGAGGGCCAGGTGCGGTGGCTCATGTTTTTAATCCCAGCACTTTGGGAGGCTGAGGCAGAAGGATCACTTGAGGCCAGGAGTTCAAGAGGTAGAGAAAAATTGGGTCAAAGCTAATTATGATATGAAAGATATGAAACATGCTAAGAGAGTAGACTTCGAGTGTCTTCACAGCTGCTTGAAGTAATGCACATATTATTTAGCTTGACTGAGCCATTCCACAATGTATATATATTTTAATACATCAAGTTGTACATGATAAATATCTAAGATGTGTCATTTTTAAAAGAAAGATATGAAAATGTTTCTGACTTTTGAATGTAAGTCGTTTAACCAACAGCCAATAATTTTCAGGTTCTTCATTTTGATTTTGATTTTCAGATTATTTGTTTTGATAAAGGCCTGTTTTTAACGAATATATATAACATGTTTATAATAAGGCGTCAGTTTATATTATGTTCTTAACTGTGATGGTAATGGCTAAAAGCTATCATGGGTATTCAGTTTACTATATAAACTGAAATATTTTTAATTATGTCAAGAGGCAGGAGTACTGGTGAAGATAGTGACAAATGTTCACTCTACCTAAAGCAGCTATATAGTGGCTAAAGTAGTCCAAAGTACCATTTTTACGCTTTTTCACAACAGACACAAATCAAACGTAATACTGACTTTTCTGTTTACTTCACTTAGGCAGTTCTAAGCATATTCTATATGCAGAGTGTTACTTCATATCAATATATTTAAATGACACTTTAAAATACCTTTTTTTCTTAGGTTTTTGTTTGGTTGAAATTTTACTGAAAGTATATGTATTTTTTTGCTTTTCCGTCATACATAGAAAATAGATTCACTTGATTTAATTCAATCTGAACTCGAACAGTCTCTTTGTTTCCTTATTGTACTAGAAAAAGTGGCATGAATTAAAAATTTATTAATATGCCTGGAAGTCTACCTTTAGAGTTTATTCAAAGGCTAACTGGATGTAAGCTAAAGGGTCACACTTCAGGTTCTTATTTTAATTAATCAACATTGTAGTTGTATACTTCTAGTGTCATCTAAATGAAAATCTGCTGAGTAACATGCCCTCATTTTATATTTATATTATGGGTGAAGGGCAACCATAGGTTTAAACCAAGACAAATGAAGACTGAAACCAAGAGTGGTGTTCTTATGCCAGAAATTTTACTGCTGACATTCTTTTAATAAAGTTTCGCAGTTTTCTGCAAAGAGTTTTTGCATATTTTTGTTAAACTTATTTATAGGTTTTTAATACTCTTGAGAATTGTATCTATTTTGAAAGTTTAAATCCTGTGTTTGAGGTGGTATATAGAGATGAAATGTTGGTACATTGATTTTCTATTATAGTAAGCTGGAAGCTTTCCTAGGGGGATGCCAGCAGCTGCATAGATAGAAAAGGCTACCTGGGGCCAGGGGTGTCCATCATGGGTGTTCCACCTCCCCTTTTTAGCACATGCACAGTAAGAAAGAAATGAGGAACATGGAGTAGCTCAGGCTGAGGACCCGCCTGCATAATGAAAGATTAGGGTGGGGGTTGCCAGAGATTCACACGCTATGCAGATGGTACACCTGTTCCTAACTGGTTGTTTGTACCCTATGTAGATCAGATACTGGCTCCCCACTAGCTGTTCTATTTTGTTATTTATGTAGTATTCAGTAGCAAGCTGTTCCGTTTCCATGTCATTGTACAGTTTTGAGTGTGTTTCTTAATCTTGAGTTTTAATTTGATTGAACTGTGGTCTAAGAGTTTCTTTGTTATGATTTCCATTCTTTTGCATTTGCTGAGGAGTGTTTTACTTCCAATTATGTGGTCAATTTTAGAGCAAGTGCTATGTGGTGCTGAAAAGAATATATAATATTCTGTGGATTTGGGTGGAGAGTTCAATAGATGTCTATTAGGTTCTCTTGGTCCAGAGCTTAGTTCAAGTCCTGAATATCCTTGTTAATTCTGTCTTGTTGATTAGTCTAATATTGACAGTGAGGTGTTAAAGTTACCCACTATTATCTTGTGAGAGTCTAAGTCTCTTTGTAGGTCTATATGAACTTGTTTTATGAATCTGGATACCCCTGTATTGGGTGCATATATATTTAGGATAATTAGCTCTTCTTGTTGCATTGATCCCTTTACCATTATGTACTGTCTATCTTTGTCTTTTTTGATCTTTGTTGGTTTAATGTCTGTTTTATCAGAAACTAGGATGGCAACCCCTGATATTTTTTGCTTTCCATCGCTTGGTAAATATTCCTCCATCCCTTTATTTCAAGACTATGTGTGTCTTTGCACATGAGTCTCCTGAATACAGCATACCAATGGGTCTTGACTCTATACAATTTGCCGGTCTGTGTCTTTTAATTAGAGCATTTAGCCCAATTAAGATTAATTTACATTTAAGGTTAATATTGTTATGTGTGAATTTGATCATGTAATCATGATGCTAGCTGGTTATTTTGCACATTAGTTGATACAGTTTCTTCATCGTGTCATTGGTCCTTATATTTTGGTGTGTTTTTGCAGTGGCTGGTACCACTTTTTCCTTTCCATATTTAATGCTTCCTTCAGGAGCTCTTGTAAGGCCGGCCTGGTGGTGACAAAATCCCTTAGCATTTACTTGTCTGGAAAGGATTTTATTTTTCCTTTGCTTATGGAGCTTAGTTTGGCTGGATATGAAATTCTGGTTTGAAAATTCTTTTCTTTAAGAATGTTGAATATTGGCCCCCACTCTTTTCTGGTTTGTTGGGTTCTGCAGAGTGATCCACTGTTACTCTGATGGGCTTCCCTTTGTAGGTAACGTGATCTTTCTGTTTGGCTGCCCTTAGCAGTTTCCCCTCCATTTCAACCTTGGAGAATCTGAAGATTATGTGTGTTAGGGTTGCTCTTCTTGAGGAGTATTTTAGTAGTGTTCTCTATATTTCTTGAATTTGAATGTTGGCCTGTCTTGCTAGGTTGGGGAAGTTCTTCTGGGCAATATCCTGGTGTGTTTTCCAACTTGTTTCCATTCTCTCTGTCACTTTCAGGTATAACAATCAGTCGTAGGTTTGGTCTTTTCACATAGTCCCATATTTCTTGTAAGCTTTGTTCGTTTCTTTTCATTCTTTTTTCTCTAATCTTGTCTTCATGCCTTATTTCAGTAAGTTGATCTTCAGTCTTTGCTATCCTTTCTTCCACTTGATCGATTCTGCTATTGATACTTGTGTATGCTTCACGAAGTTTTCATGGTGTGTTTTCCACCTGCATCAGGTCTTTTATATTCCTCTCTAAAGTGACTATTCTAGTTAGCAGTTCCTGTAACCTTTTATCAAGGTTCTTAGCTTCCTTGCATTGGTTTAGATCATGCTGCTTCAGCTCAGAGGTGTTTTTTATTACCCACCTTCTTAAACCTACTTCTGTTGATTTATCAATCTCATTCTCTGTCTAGTTTTGTGTTGTTGCTGGAGAGGAGTTGCAATCATTTGAAGGAGAAGAGGCATTTTGGTTTTTGGGATTTTCAGTATTTTTGCTCTAGTTTTTCCTCATCTTTGTGGATTTATCTACCTTTTGTCTTTGAGCCTGATGACCTTTGGATTTGGTTTTGTGTGGGGGTTCTTTTTGTTGATGTTGATGTTCTTGCTTTCTGTTTTTTAGTTTTTCTTCTAATACTCCGCTCTTCTACTGGTCTACTGGAGTTTGCTGGAGGTCCACTCCAGACCTTGTTCACCTTGATATCACCAGTGGAGGCTGCAGAACAGCAAAGATTGCTGCCTGCTTCTTCCCCTGGAAACTTTGTCTCAGAGGAGCACTGGCCTTATGCCAGCTGGATCTCTCCTGTGTGAGGTGTCTGTTGACCCCTGTTGAGCAGTCTCTCCCAGTCAGGAGGCAGGAGGGTCAGGGACCCACTTGAGGAGGCAGTCTTTCCCTTAGTAGAGCCAGTGCATTGTGCTTGGAAAACCCCCCTTGTCAGGATCAGCTGCTATCTTCAGAGCTGGCAGACAAGAAAGAGCAAATCCACTGAAGCTGCACCCACAGCCGCCCCTTCCCCCAAGTGCTCTGTCCCAGTGATATGGTAATTTTATCTGTAAGCCCTTGACGGGCTGCCGTGTTTCCTTCAGAGATGCCCTGCCCAGTGAGGAAGAATCTAGAGAAACACTCCGCCCAGTCCAAACCTCCCAGCCTTCTTAGCACTGTCGGGAAAACGACCTTCTAAAGCCTCAGGGATGGCATATGCCCCTCCCCCCACCAAGCTCAATCATCCTCAGACTTCAGACTGCTGTGCTGGCAGTGAGAATTTCAAGCCAGTGTTTCTTACCTTGCTGGGCTCTGTGGGAGTGGTACCTGCTTTGGAAGACCACTTGGCTCCCTGGCTTCAGCCCCCTTTCCAGGGGAGTGAACAGTTCCATGTCTCTGGGGTTTCAGGTGCCACTGGGGTAAGAAAAAATCTCTGGCAGCTAGCTCAGTGTCTCCCCAAACAGCTGCCTAGTTTTGTGCTTGGAACCCAGGGCCCTGGTGGTTTAGGCTCATGAAGCAATCTCCGTATCTGTAGATAGCAAAAACTATGAGAAAAGTATAGTACCAAGTAGCACTGTCCCTCACCGCTTCCTTGGCTGGGAGAGGGAGGTCCCCTGGCTCCTTGCACTTCCCGAGTGGGGCAATGCCCACCCTGCTGCTTCTTACCCTTCATGAGGTACACCCACTGCCTAACCAGTCCTAGTGAGATGAACTGGGTACCTCAGTTGGAAATGCAGAAATCCCCTGCCTTCTGCGTAGGTCTCACTGGGAGCTGCAGACTGGAGCTGTTTCTATTCTGCCATCTTGGCCTCTCCCTCAGTTTTATATATAGAACTTTAAGGGTCTCT